AGTCAGTATTGCTAGGATCCTCGGACTTCAATAGGACACTTGTGCAGGGAAGACCACGAAAGTGACACCCATGGTACCCCATGCACATAATGCCATAGGCAAGATATCCTTGACGATGTAAACAACCGGACGTCTAGTCTGACGGGTTTTCAAACTGGCCGTCTTACGCTTCTCCTCGATCTTCAACACCTCTCTCATATAAGGGTGCTTGGAGGTGATGCATCGATACATAGGTATAACAAAAACAGTAATGACAGAAGTAACGCAGAAAAAGACCAGGCACTGCCACTCTGGCTGACGACGTACATTACCAGCATCAAAAATGACTTGTAGCAACATATTGATAGGCCAACCAACCAAACCGGCCACACCTTCACCAGTCATATCCGCGATCATGCACGATTGTGGACAAAGAGCTGCCAGACCGAAGGAAGAAGACTCCATCAACGCATGGCCAAAACCGAGCAAGAAGACACAGACTAGAGCAAGGCCGAAACCTAAACCTTCATCGGGACACGGATTCCCATCACCAATAGTCATAGCAACAACAGCAAGAAGGATGTTGAAGATAGCCAGAATCGCACAACCCCAATCAAAACGGGGTGCAAAGCTGAACTTGTTACCTACCCAAATTAGTAGAAGCTGAGCCACGTTGACAGCAATAGAGTATATAATAGGGACAGTTGAACTGAAGTGATTATGAAACTTGGAGTCCAGATAAGGCAGATCAGCCAGAACGAAGTTCCAAGGGGCCAATGCCACAAATCCAAGAATAAGGAACTGCGCCAACAGCGACCAGTCGACCTTGGGCTCTGACTTCTTTTCCTCTTCGGTCTTGAAAGACCTAGCTTCTTCCATATCAACTAGACTGTCGTCTTTGCTTGCAGGAGAACGCGAGCTTTCAGTCGAAGACATTGAATTGAGTTATATAAACTGAAAGAAATACCTGTCGGAAGTCTCATAACAAATGTAATGTCCGACCATAAGGCAGAACTATCCGATTCAATAGTCTCTGGAACCGAATTGGTGAACGCCATGACAGACGATCACCTCCCCAAACGCAAATGTATCACCGACAGTAACATAGCACATTTCATAGTGTGGTGGGATCAAGAGAGACACGACTGGGAAGTCATAGACTATTCTGGTCTGAAAGAGAGAGATCTCACCGTGTTCGTCGATAGCAAACTCGTACATATAT